AAGCACCAGGAATGGCACCGGGCACGGGAACAAGAGCCGGGAATGGCACTGGGCACGGGAATAAGAGCCGGGAATGGCAGCGGGCACGGGAACAAGAGCCGGGAATGGCACCGGGCACAGGCACGGGGGGACCCGCGGGGCGAACACACGGACCCGAGCGGGGCCGGACCGACCTGCGGGGCTGCGGCTGCTGCTCCGGGCGGCGGAGGAGAGAGGGGAGGACCGGGACAACCGGGATAACCGGGATAACCCGGGATAACCGGGATAGCCGCCGCTCCCCTCCCCTTCCCGGCCACCACGAGCCGCCCCAGCGGCGGGGCCGCGGCGCCCTCTGCGGGCACCGTGAGGCTTCAAAACCCCTTCTGCTGGAAACTGCGTCGCTCTGCTAATTTGTTAATGGTTTTAATTAAACCCTCTAATTAGCCCTTTTAATTAATCATAAGCCGCGCGAGGCCTTGAGTTACTTCTCGGCCCGCTTTTCAGCGGAAGGGCTGCGGTGAGATGCTGTCGGGAGCTCAGGCAAACCCCTAAAACTCAAATTTTAAGTTTTGCTGAGCTGACCTTGATGGGCTTCAGCGAACAAAGCCTGGGGGATAAATATATATCGGTGAGGTTGGGCATCTGGAAGGACCTTTTGCAAAAACCAGAAGATGAGGAGGAAGATGAACAAAGGCTTAGTGTTTGTGTTGGGAAAACCCCAGCGGAGGGGAAAAGATGCTAAAAAGAGTAAAGATATGGACTAATTGTTATGGAAAATGAGAAGTTAACAACCAACAGAAGGTAGAATGCTAACTGATGAAAGAGAACAATATAATTTAGAAACAATGTTAATATCTTTGTTTGCTAAAAATGGATGGATTAGGAATTATTATGAATTAAAATGTATGAATTAAGAATTACTATTGGGCGACCTGCACCAGGGCCTCACAGGGAACAGTTTGTTCCCAGTATCCCACCTAACCCTGCCCTCTTTCAGCTTGAGCTCATTCCCCCTTGTCACTCTGTGCCCTCTGGAAAGCCCCTCTCCAGCCTTCCCGTAAGCCCCCTTTAGGTGCTGGAAAGCTGGGCATGAATATTTTAAAGTATTTTGATAGGGGGAAAAAAGTGTTGTATAATTTACTGCATTTTTAATACAGTTTTACTTTTTATTCTCACGCAGGCTCATCATTTCTGTGGTTGCTGCAGCCTGGCTAATTAACACGGGGTTTGGGAGGATGATTAAAGGAAGGCTCCGTGTATCTGCATTGTTCTGGTTTAATTGCTGCTCGAGCAGTGATTCAGAGTTGGTTTTGGCAGTTGAGCAGCGTTTGTCTGGCACTGTGAAATTCCCTGTTTATATCCATGAGACTCATCTGGTGTTGATGGGCAAAAAGCATGAGGATTTGTAACATTTTTAGCAGCAGGCTCACGGATGGAAGAGGTTTGGTTACGTGCCCTCCAAGGTTCTGGCTGAGGTGCTCGGGTGGTGCTGGTGGTCACAGAGCCCACGGCTCGAGTGTCCCCACCTGGGGGGACAGAACTGTGTCTCATGGCTGGTGCAGGGCAGGAGAAGAGGGAATCAGGCTGGAAGGAGCCCCTCGCTCTGCAGGACCACGGAGGATCATTCCTACACCTCCCACTGCCTGAAGAAGAGCCCTCCCAGTGTAACCCACGTGAGACCCAGCCCAGGACTGGCTGTGCCCAAAGCACACGAGGGCAGTGACAGGAGCCACCACGTGAGCAACTGTAGAGGAAAAACTAAGCCACAAATGCTCCTCATAATCCATGAAGGCAAACAAATGGAACCTGGAAGGTGGTTTTGCGCTGAGGACTCTGATGGACTTTGTTGGCCCTGAGCAGCCTCACCCAGACCTTCTCAGCAGCCCCAGTTCAGCTCAAGCTGAGTTTTCCACAGTCCTGGACTGCCCTCAGACCGATGCCATCAGCAGCTTAGCTCCTGCAAGCACATTATAACCTGCAGCCATCCCTGTTTCCTGGCTGGGCTTTGGATCTGTGCTGTAGCCTTGTCACAGTCCTGGCTCTGACCTTGTCTCCTTTGCTTCCTGGGTGTATTTAAAAATGCATGACACTAATTGTAAGGAAAAAGGAGTAAAACAGCAATTTGTATATGGAAAATCACTTCCAGAGACTAGAAAACTTTTCCAGAAATAGAGGCTGAAATTCCAAGCTTTATCCAGGCCTGGTGCTGTCTCTGTTCCTGAATAAACACATCTTTGATGTCACAGGCTGCATTTTATGACATCCCCTTAAAAAAGAAGTGACTAAAGAGAGAATAATGTGAAAGACAGCCAATTATTCCATAAATGTAAACTACATTAAGAAGTGGTGTATAACATTATATATTTATGGCTACAATTTTGTTCTGCTGTCACATAACAAAATGAATAATACATTAGTCCAAGGATTTGTCGTTAAGTGAATTTCTACGTTGCCTTGCTATTAAAATATAAAACTCCTTGGTGGGTGTATGCGTGTGACATTAACATTAACCCTTTTCTGGGAGCATAAAATAAGGTGGGTGAAGGTACTTTTAGGCTGGAAAATTGAATTTATAATTTTATAATTTGATTTTTAAGGTGAAATAATGCTAATTAAAGTCACCAGAAAGATTTGAAGACATTCAGGAAGGTTTTTCTGTTAATGAGATGTGATAAATGCAGTTCTCTTCTAAGAGACAAACAACTCCTCAGTACAAAAAAGACAGGAACAGGAAGCAAATCCAGTGAAGAGCCATGAAGATGATTCAGAGTCCAACTGGAGGTGGCCCTGCCCAACCTGTTCTGGCTCATCCTGCTTTGAGCAGAGGACTGGGCTTGGTGGTCACTGGAGATGCCTTCCAACCTCAGTCTGGCTCTGTGAAATGGGACAATGAATAATTAAAAAAATAATAATTAAAAGATGAGACTGTTCCTCATATGGTTAAAGTTAAGCTAAAGAGTCCGTTGAAAGAAGATCAGGTGCCTCCTAAAAACATTTCTCAAGTTCACAGTATCTCCCTCTAGTTCCTGTGGCTTTCAGTCTCTTTTCCATGTTGTCTTTCTTTAATTCTGGTCCCTCTGAGAAGAGAGAGGAACATCTATTTACAGCCCGACAAGGGAGACTAAGGGGTCAATCTAACTTATGATCAGGAGAAAATTACCTGTATGGTTAAGGTCAACTGGACTGGATATGGGATTTTCAGGCCCCAGCCTAAATTCTTTTCTTTTCCCATGAGTCCTGCTGAGGGAAAAAAGGAAACCCTGATCCAGTTAGATGAGGGCATGACTGTCTTGGTGTGGAGCCTTCCAGGTGTTGTGCAGAGCTCCCCATGTAGATGTACACGATGAGTTTGCACCTTTCAAAGCTGAGATTAAACTTCCCTGAAATACCATTTATCTCAGAATGCATTTATCTGATTTTTTTTTAGTATTTTCTCCTATTTGTCCCTAATGTGATTGGCAGCAAAATTGATTCGGCTTCCTGCTGAGTTGGACTTGAAAGGTGAACACTGAGTTTTCTATTACTTGGCTTTAATGCAGTGTGTAGACCCCACAATTTGATAAATTCAGACCTGCTGGGGAAGCACTGGGGAACCCCATTTTGGACACAAAGGATCAGATCTTGTCTTATGTTGCAGAGACTATTGGCTTAAATTTTGAGGTTATGAGAGAAAAGTGGTTTCTCTGCAATATGTTTGGAAAATTCAGGGAGTTGTTTTCATACTGGGGCTCCTGCTGTGCCACAAGTGTGGAGCAGCAAGTTCTCAGGTTTGGGGGGAGAAAAGATGACGAGTATAGTGGTACCACCCAAAAAACCAACAGCCACCCCACAAACAAACCCAAAGTAACCAAAAACTCCCCAAATCACAGAGAAACTGAGGTAATGAAAATTTTGTTAGAATGGCCCAGGAGCAGGACAGGACAATATAAGCAGAGTGAGAAGCTGGAAGAGATGTTTCCTCCAAAAGGAGATGTTTGGGAGAGCGAAGGAGCACAGAGTCAAACACCAGAACAAACCAGTGATCTGTTGTCCTCTGTGTCTAAGGGAGTAGGAAAAGGTGTCTGGCTAATGAGTAAATTCCTAATTGTGAGGTGTTGAAAAGCTGTGCTTAGGGAAGCAAAATCAGAACAAACATGAGCTGTGCCTGGACTGACAGCTCTTGCCTCACCAGAGGACGTGGGTGAGGTAACCTAGAGGATTTTCCAATCCTACATTTCTACAGTTTCACACTCTTACTTATATAAAGATTCTCTTCCATAAATCCAGCAAACAAACCTTTGCCTGGAAAACCATTTCCATACCACATTAGTGCTGTTATTAATTAATTTCAATAACTTATCCCATGAGGGGCTGCCTGTCTTCTGTTTTCCCCTGGCTGGTTTCCTTAAGCTCCCAGATAACTGCTGCTACTTAGCTCTGATTCCATTATGAAATTAGTTTCTGGTGGAAGTATGTTCCTCTTCCAAAGCCTTGTGCTCGTCTGAGGTGCAGCATTAATGATGGAAAGCTTATTAAGCACCTGAACAGATGTTTTAGTGGGTTTTAGTGCCTCACTGTGTTATCTCCCCACAGCCAAGAGGAGAACCTGAGCTCCAGGAAGGCGTGAGCACCTTGTAGCACACACAGCTCAACATAAATCCC